TTCCAACCCAATGTTGGATCAGACTTTTCCCAAACTGAACTCAAAATCTAGTTGTCAATACAGGACTGCTTGGTTGCTGTTCTGTGCTTGTCTAGGTGGGTGAGGGGAAGGGATGTAAACTTGAAAGATTTGTGAGCTTAGGTGCTCTCCTAATAGTTGTCATATATCAGACAATTATATAAAACAGATTTTCTGGATTTAACTGCCTCCCCAAACTAATACTTGATAAATAGATAGATAGATGATAGATAGATAGATAGATAGATAGACAGATAAACAGACAGACAGACAGAGACAGACAGAAGTCTGAAAGCAGGAGGGGGAACTTGCCTGCATGGTCACCTCTTTGCTCTCACTCCTGGGGCCCAGGGACCACTCGTAGAGGATAATCTGGTGATCATCACTGCTCTGGTTTCCATTCAAAGTGATGGAGTTTTGGGGCAAAGTTATGGTCTGATTTGGTCCCGCACTGGCAACTGGGGGGTAGTCCACAGCACTGTTGACTATTAGGGCTGCAGTGGTGGAGTTAGTGGCTCCATCCAAGTCTGTGATGGTCAACCTACAAAAAGAAGAGGAAGCCAGAGTTGTAAGAACAATGCCAAATCTTAAGGTAAGTGGTCAATTCAGTCTGCTCATGGTACACTTTTCAGCACAACTCAGAACAGGTGTCAATCAAAATTTGAGGATGAAGCAAAGAAAAGCACACAGACCTGAGGATATTTTGTTTGCTTTTGTTGCTATTGATTTATTTTTATATCTTTTTTTTTTTTTTTTGGTGGCTGCCTGGTATGTGGATCCGAAACTGCAACCTTGGTATTATCAGCAAACACACTCTAACCAACTGAGCTAACCAGCTATCCTATTTTTAGTTCATAACATATTCACATGTTAGAGTTTAACATTTATAAGTTTCTGATTAGTCTTTGAGATGCTGGGTAAAGAAACCATCCTCAGCTAACACAGAAGCTGCTCTGTAATAACTGAAACTAAGAGTGTATGAGGTTTAAGTTCTGGAGAGTCAGTGAATCATTCATAAATGTTCAGCTATGAAGCTTTTAAATTTTTTAATTCTTTTCTAGAGGACTTATTATAATTGTGTTTTCAGAATACTCCTTGCAATGAGATTTTAGGATTAAGCACTTTTGAATACAAACCAATGTTCATCCTACACAAACAAAAAGAACTGCCTTTGACCCCGTTGTAGTAAACTGATCTCCTAATGTCGCAATGGGAACAGTGAAATTACAAACAGGTCACTTCATCCTTCTGGGGTAAAGATGAATGCTAAACAGGTGTAAATTAGGAATATGAGAACGAAGCTATGGAATGAAGCTATTTGTAGATAAGACACATATATAGGGGGTGCCCATGTATTCTGAGCCTCCTTTCACACCATCCCACATACTCCACACAACCAAGAGCCAAACTCCAATTCTGGCTCTGACAGCAAACCAGACACCAAAGTCCTTTCTTCTTAACAGGGTGAGTCAGGACACATTCTTGGCTCTTAAGAAAATTTCTGCCTGGTTAAATCAGTAAGTAACCTGACTCAGTAACAGCAGTAACCTGTCTCAAGCAGATAGTGAAGGATAATTAAAAATCTAAAATACTCTAGAGCATCTTTGTGGGCTTTTCAGTCAAGGAGGAATCCTGTTAGATTCTTGAGGGTTTCTTAATCAGAACAGACTTCAGATGATCCATAAATACATATCTATATCTATCTATATATATATATATATGGGCTCCTTCTCTGGAATCATCATATTCTTAAAGAGTATATGAGATCTTAAAAATATAAGATGTCAGAACATATGGGATTCAGCTAAGCAGTACTTAAAGGAAAATTGTAACTTTAAAAGCTTTACCAAAAAAAGGGGAAAATCTAATATAATGACCTAAAATTCTACTCCAAGAAAAAGAAGAGCAAAGTAAATCAAAAGTAAATAGAAATAAAGAAATAATAAAGAGCAAAAATCAATGAATTAGAAAACAGATAAATGAAAAATTAACAAGGTTCTAGTTAGGGATTCTTTGAAAAGATAAACAAAATTAACAAACTCCTTAATTAAACTGATCAAAAGAAAAAGAGCATGGACACAAATCACCAATACCGGGAGTGAAAAAAGGGTTATCATCACAGATCCTATATACATAGAAGGAAAAATATGAAAATTCTATGAAGAACTTTTGCCAACAAATTTGCCATTTTAGATGAAATGAACAAATTCCTTGAAAAATACAACTCACCCAACTTACCAAAAACTCACACACACACACACACACACACACACACACACACACACACACACACACACACACACACACACACACAAAACTAAAATAGCCTTACATCTATTAAAGAAATTGAATTTGTCATCAAAAACCTTCCCAAAAAGAAAACTCAAGGCCCAGGTGATCTTACTGGTGAGTTCTATCAAACATTCAAGGAAGAAATACTACCAGATGTACAAAAATGTTTCAGAAAATAGAGAAGGATAGATTGCTGTCCAACTTGATTTATGGAGCTAGCATAATAATCCTCACACAACACCTTGACAAAGGCATCGCAAAAAAAAAAAAAAGTTATAGATCAATATCTTTCATGAATACAGGCACAAAAATCCTTACCAAAATATTAGCAAATTGAATCCAACAACACTGTTTCAAATAAATATCATGACCAAATTGCATCTATTCCAGGAACATAAGGTTGACTTAACATTCAAAAATCCCACACACTACACAAAAACTATAGTCTGAAAGAAAAGTCTTATAAATGAATTCTGCTTGATAAAAATGAAGTTGGACTCTTCCCTCACACAATGCACAAGAATTAAGTTAAAATATATCAGTGATCTAAATATAAAAGCTAAAACTATAAAACTTCTAGGAAAAAACACAAAAAGGGCGCATATTGAAATGCTAGTTCTACTCGCCTTAACTACATACAGCAAGTGATATACTACTGATTATTTCAAATAGGCATCCGAACTGACAGATTCATAAAGACTTAAGAGGTGCTTATCTATAATTTATAAAACAGCTTTTAGTATCTTAATTATTAAGGTGTATAAGAAAAGTCATATCCTACATGAAAATTTCCCATTTCTACTTTAAAAGAGAGCAAAGAGGCCTGGAAGGGAGCCAGTTTCATCTCATTCATTTAAGGAAAGAACAAGTTCATGTGACAGATTAATAATCCTAAATAGGTTCTTGTAGTGAAGCCATATTGAATTACAGGAATCAAAATGTGAGGCATTTTCTCGTATAAATATTTCTATTTAAAATATGCTTCATTTTTATGTAGCTAAGGAGGAAATGTGGACATCTATATGTGATTAGATGCAAATGGACATATCAGTGTGATTGCCATACATATGTAGGCTTGCAAAATGCAGCAGCATTAATGGCCAACAAGTACTTTTCACTCAGAAACTAAAACAACTATTCTTTACTCTATCTAGAATTTGGTGTTAGCTTTGTGATTAAATGCACATAAAAAGCAACTACCAGGTACACTGAAACCGTTGAACCAAGTCAAACACAGGATATGTTTTCAATCTATTCTCATTTGCATGGACACCTGTAGCTACACCAGGGCCCCTTCCACATATACTCTAGTAGAAGGAATGAAATCTGAATTAAATTAACAAATAAAAACTACCTACCCTCACTGAAGGCAATTCTTTTTTTTTTTTTTTTTTTTTTTTTTTTCGTGACCAGTAAGGGAATCGCAACCCTTGGTGTAGTATCACCCACACCACGCTCAGCCAGTGAGCGCACCGGCCATTCCTATATAGGATCCGAACCCGCGGCGGGAGCGTCGCTGCGCTCCCAGCGCCGCACTCTCCCGAGTGCACCACGGGCTCGTCCCGAAGGCAATTCTAATAATCGTTGTTAAAAGTGATTTTCCACTTCCTAGTATGTGCTACACCAAAAGGAAATTTTTTAATAATTGCTTTTATTCCAAGTCAAATAGCTGGGCCCTAAAGAACTTTCTCATAGAATAGACAAATGCTGAAGGGAAAATAAGCATAGGACAGAGAAGATGTGAGGCAGGAATTGAACTTAAAGCTACAAAACTAAAGAAAAAGGGGACCATTTATTACTGTATGAGCCTGTAAGTCCTCCCAGCCTTGATGCAGAGCACCCGTTAAAATCTCACGTTATGTATGGCAAAAAAAAAAAAAAAGTCTCTAAAGTATCACAGGATACACACGGCTGCCATCGATAAGGGGGGTCGTCAAAGGCAAAGTGAGCTCTTGTATCAGGGGAGAAATGACTGCTACAGGTGGCAGGTTGACTCTTCTGGCTGTGACAGAAAAAAGGACAGTGACTGAGCCCGCATTGTGTATGCATATGTCATTACCCAAATAAAACCATCTGTTTTTAAAAATTGATTACAAATGTCCTGTAAAAAAGGTGCTTATCCACAGGACGCAACTGTTTGAAGTTTGGTGTCTTCCTATAAACTTTAGGAGCTGGTCTGTATGTTTACATTTTTGTATGTAATCCCTGGCTCAGTGAAGACAACACCAAGGGGTTAGCCACAGAATATGAGCAGTAACTGCAGAAAAGGAGAAATGGATTACAGTTCCAGCTCCTGTGATTAACTGCATCTTAAATCTTTGACTGAAGTCACCCCCACCCCCATGCTTCAGCTATAATAATAACTAGGCAGAATGTGCAAAGGATAGAGCTGTCAGCTCCTCCGGTGAAGGTTGGGAGGTGGAGCTGCTGCAGAGGAGTCCACCTCAGTCCATGCATGTTGGGCCTTCAGCCTAGTGGAGGGGGTAGCAGAGGCTGAAGGCCAGCTCGTGTTCTATCCATCGAGCCACCCAGATGAAGGGCTACCTGTTACTAATCCACATGAATGCACTGACCTTTGGGCTAGCAGTGGGCTTGAAAGTCCACAGTACACATTTTCCTCTGACCCCTTAGTTGCTCAGTTGAACATATTTGAAATGCCCCTGCATGTAAAGTGAAGCTGAATCATGGGGAGTGGAGGTAGGAGTAACAGTGGATGTAGTAAATGTCAGACAGAGGGGGCTGAGGTCCAGACAATCAGCCTCCATTCAAGAACAGCAAGCAACAACCCTGTAGCCTTACAGAGCAGGGTCAAGTGAGTACTAAGGGTTATACTGAAAATAGGAAAAAACCAAAATCAAAAACACAATTCTTGCATGTTTTCTCTACAATAGAGTCTGATGTAAAAATATGTACACATATTACCATGTCATCTAGGAGCCAAAATTGTGATAACCCTGTACAGCAGGAGATCATTCTCTTACACAGTCTTACCTGGCTTAACAGTGACATTAACAAATCCTTCTCCAAAAGAAGTTTCACTAGAAACGGCTACTTTGAAGGCATAAAATCCTACTGCCAACTGTAAAATGAAAAAAACTTACACAAGTGAACATGCAAAGACATGATGGGTCCACTACCTAGAGATGGCTAAAATATCCCAGAAGCCACACTGCTAAAGTCGGCAGAGAGAAGGGGCTCAGGAGAAAGTCTTATCTGGATCTGTCAAGAGACTGCCACATGTTTGAAGCCTGCCCTCTAGTACACTAAAGATCACTTAGACAGTTCTTTTGCTTACCTACAGATGTTCACGGGACTTAGAGGCCTAAGTGACATGGTCCAGCTGAGGGCAGCAGTTCTCAAGTGTGTGTAAAAGGGAATCACTCATTTTTAACACAACGGTCTGTCAAGGTGGCTGCCTGTGATCTGGGTACCACACTTTGAGACACAGAGCTCAGTGCCATGGGGGTGATGCAAGTTCGTGCTGCACCATTAGCTATGCAGTCGCAGGAGATGAAGACAGCGTCATCACCTGGCAGAAAACCAGACCTCAGGAGCTAAGTCAGTTTATTTATCCTGTTGGACCAGGAAGAGGGTGTGTTTCTTCTTGCGAGGTGCCTATATCTTGGAGCAATATCTGATAGTCAAAGCAATTTGTGAACTGGATTAGAATTATCGGTAACTTTTAGAAATGTGCCTAATTGAGAACCAGGCACATAGGTAAGTAGAATGTCTCTAACACTTCAAGGAGAGCAAGAGTTAAAACACAGGCTTTTTAATCTCACGGCAGGGGTTTCTGGCAAACAACCTCCCATCCATCCCCTACCGTTCCCCAGCTGATATGCCAAGGTAACTCAAATGAAAAGCTGTCCGAAAGCCTCTTTATTTAACTACCTGCCTGCCTACCTGCGGTTGAAACTTTATTCAGTTATACCCTTCTTGTTGACTTAATCATAAGAGACACCTCTGGGTTCAACAGCTAAGACAGTGTTAACTGAACCCTATGGGATGCTGTCAAATACAAGTCTCCAGTTACTTACTTGCGAGAGGTTAAGAGTTTGCATGTGTCCTTGTTTTATTTCACCTCGGTATTCTACAGGGTGGCTTATTAAACTCCACTCATAGTTGTAGGTTGTTTCTGAGAGCAAAAAAGAAATATGAGTAATTACAAATTCTGAGAGGTCACTATATAACCTGGGCAGAGGGAAGGAGATGATAGGCTTGAACCCACCAGCATGGATTATCTTAGATATAATGAACTCCACTTTCAACTATCATCCAAGTAAGGAATAGCAGCATTTCTGTATCTTTTTAATGTAAAATTTCTTTTTTATTATGAATACATACAACTTAACAGAAAATTTAGACAATATAGAAACTAAAAAAAAAAAAAAAGCTTCCTAAACTCATAGTCAACATTTGATGACTTTCTTTCTAGGGTGCTTAATCTGATTATCCACATAAATTTCAATATAGTATAATCCACTGTACTTTTTCTTCTTTTAATAAAAAACAAAGAGATTTGAATTCATTTAATTTGTTTTAGGGGTTTATTAAGCTCACAAGAATGGATTAAATATCTCTATTTTAAGATAAAGCTATCTCCCATCATCAAATGTTAGTAAAGTATGAGGTACCCTAGCTCAAAGAATTAAAATGCAAATGCCAAATATTATCATTTCCATTTATAAAATTTCAACTCATGCGTGATAGGGAAATATGAATAAAGAAACTAACCTGAATAAGAAACAAACATGTTAAGAATGAATCTACTTAAGAATGAATGCACTTCACAGGCCACAGGGATAAGTTAAATATTCACTGAACAGCAGAGGACTGGAGAAGTGGAAGAGCACTCTGAAGAACATTTTTGGAGCAGCTGGTATGAGGTATCTTTAGAAGCTCAGAGCCATGTTGTCAACACCATGGTATCTGCGAACAAACCTTTGGGTGCATGCCACCTCCCGCTCCTCACAGTGGAATCTTTCCAGGCTCTGTGGGTTATCACAGGTCAAGATCTGGTACGTGGCAATCTCTTCTGCTCTAATATATCACTCTGCTTTGCATCATCAGAAATTTATGACTTTCCACCCTGAACAATTAAAGGATATGTACTATATTTAATTTCCTATACTCTTACTCCATTTTAAACTATTTCAATAAACTTTTATGCTTATGATCATCAAAGCCTTGTCTTCCACGCAATGTTGTGAAAATGATTCAGTGTTGTAAATAACCTGTAAAGACCTGTTATGGAAGAACATCCCAGCTCTCTGGGCCCTGAGTGGTCACAGAGGAAAGTCAAGCTCTCACCTGCAGGTGGCGCTGGCACAACAAAGGCCTTCAGTTCAACTTCATTGTTGGGTAAAGTTATTATTAGGTTATCCCCAGCAGACACCGTAAGTTCATTCACTAAAAGTTAATTAGAAATAGTACATGCCATTATATAATATAACGTAATATAACGATGTTATATTACTGCCCTACAACAGACCTGTTTTCAATACCCGTAAAATAAAAAAACATGTTTCTGTAGTAGCTCTTCATATGATTTTATCTAAGACACTTTTTCCTTTGGCTAATAATTGAACTGTACCCTATATTATGCTGCAGGGTAGACTTCGTAAATGCAAAACCATATATATGAGTTGTCACTGTGAAGGAAATAATCACACAAATTGACTGAGCAATGTGTTGGGTGACAACAATTGTGCGAAACAGGTGGGGTACTATGGATTAGGTTTATTTTCTCTCTTTCTACCATATTTGACTCCCTGGTGTGACCTATGTGAGCTATTTTTAGTTATAAAAAGACTGAGCATAACCACAAGTGTTTCTGTATCATTAGTCACACGCCACTTGGTTCTGATAGTAACCTCATGAATTACTGCTAATGGCTTTGCTTTTGGAAACTTTCCAAGAGAAAATCCAATTGACTTCAATATAAAAAGCTACTTTAACTCAAGCAGCAGGAACATTAACTCTCATCAAAAGCACTTGTCCACTAAATCAGCATCCAGAACAATACTCATTTACTTTCTCTCTAACCATATATTCATGCTATGGTTCCATCGACTTGACTTGACTAGACATTAGTTCCGTTTGTAAAATGCATGGTGATATGTCAAAATATCTATTGAGGCTCAGAAAACCCAAAAGAGAAGGTCTCAGAAGCAACCTCAAGAGCAAATTCCTCTGACCTTCCACTCCCTCCCGTCTCTCAGCCTTACTCTCCTGCAATACAAGCCATAGAAACTAGAATTCCTGCTCCCCAAGGCAGGTCATAGAAACTAGAACCCCTTTTCCTCAAAGCCAGCTATAAAGACTAAAAAAATACTGTAATCTTCCCACTGCCTTTCTGTCTTGGAGCTGACACCATAAAGAAATTCTTTGATCTACCTTGTCTGATTATACATCATAAGACCCCTGCAGTGGATTGAATTATGTCCCCCCTAAATTCCCTGAAGTTTGAATTGTATCCTTCAAGTTTTATGTATTAGAAACTTAGCCCCCACTGTGATTGTTAAGAGGGTGGGAAATCCTACTATGGTAATTGAAAGGTGAAGCTTTGAAGAGGTGATTGGATTGTAGGACCCTGCAGTAATGAATGGATTAAAAATGGTGGCCAGGGGTGTGGTTCTGAGGGCTTTAAAAGAGGAGAGTCTGTCTCTCTCTCTCTCTCTCTCTGCTTCCACCATCTTGCAATGTGAGACCCCTGGGTCACTGTCACCACCACCAGATGGACTTCCCAGCCTCAGAAACTGTAAGCAATAAATTTCATTTTCTTTATAAATCACCCAGTTCCAAGTATTTTGTTATAAGCAATAGAAATGGACTAATACAACCCCCATTCCAGAAAAAGCCCTGCCCCATACCCAGAAGAGAGAAATGCTGCACAAAGAGGCCAAAAAGAATCTGAGCAGACAAGCCTTGCTGGGTTTCCCCACTCAGTCTATTAACATTAGATGATATTTTTCTGTCCAATCATATTTCTACACACTGTCCCTGCTTTATAGAACCTAATCATAAAAATGGACCCATATCTTTGGGTCTTCATTCTGAAGGCTCCCATGTCACATAAAACTATGATCAAATAAATTTGTTATGCCCTTTCTGACATCAATCTGTGTTTTTTCAGGTGATTTTCAATGAACCTTCAGAGAATGAAAGCGAAGTTTTCCTTTGAACCCTACATATCACATACAGAAAAGCAAAAAAAAAAAAAAAAAAAAAAACTAAGTGCTCTCCAAAGGTCTCAGCCACTTGGAGATGTTAGAGGGTCAGGCTGCTCATTTAATCTGCTCCTCTCCACTCCATTCTCAGGTTTTCGAGTGCTTTCCTAGACCAGCTGCAGAGGCTCTCTCTGGCTTCTCTGGCTCCTCTGGCTCTTCTCTCCAACTTTTTGCCCTGAAAGTCAGCACTTGAGAACCCAGAAGAGATATTCGTCCAAACCTATCATTTTACAGATGGCAAAATTAAGCTCCAGAAAGGTGAAGTAAGTTGTTCAAGGCTATTTGAATAATTAGCAACAGGTCCACAAATATTTAATTAATTTAAATGTATTTATTTCAGCAAACACTTAAGCACTAAATTAAACTGCTAGGCACTGTTCAAGGGCTTTGAAGCCATTGGTTCATTTAATCCTCTTAATAATCCTATGCAGTAGGTACTGTTAGAACCCAAGGATCCTAATTGCCAGGCCAGTTCCTTTTTCCATATGCACACAGCTTCTCTTCCACCCTTATCCTTCTCTCTATTGAAGCTCAGGATCAAAATAAGTAGAAAAGATAGAGAGGGTAATCCCCCAAACATATTACCCACAGAAAAGCTCAGGAAACATGACCCATAGGTTTTGTATATGATAACTTCTTTATTAAAAAATCTAATGGAAATTTTTCCATCCTTCCATGGCCTCTGCAGCACATGCAGCTTTGATCACATCTTCCTTTTTGGAACTATAGAAGACCACAATATGCCAACCCAAAATATGACTTTAGGAGACCAGATTACACCACCACAAATATGCCTCTTTAGCAGAAGGATTATTTTGAGCTGATTATTTTGAGGAACAGCAGACAAAGAGAAGCTCCAGAGTAGAAGTTACCCTTTTGTGAGGCAAATTCACCATTTGTAAGGGTGTCTCCTTCTCTATACCAGGATGAGATAGTGACTAAATTATGAGAGACTCCTATCAATGGAGAAGGCATTGACTTGAATCCACATAACAAGCCTCACTTTTGCCTACCTGATCACCTTCTATCACTTACCTTCCCCACACTGTCTTTGTTTTAGATAAACATGCTCTATATAAGCCAGAGTTCTAAGGCCACTTCTTTGAGATTTACTCATTCTCTGTCTCCCATGTATTTATGAAATATGCATGTTAATAAACTCCTGTTTGTTTTTTCTATTGTTAATCTGTCTTAGGCTAGTCTCTAGCCTAGAACTTAGACGGGTAGAGGGAAAAATATTTTTTCCTCCCTTACAGAACTCTCCCCTCCCTTTCCTTCTCTCATTCTATGCTTTCCTCTCCTTCTCCTACCTCTCCAGCATGACTACCCAGTCAGCTTGACAGTTTCCTTCTGCTCTTCCAGCTCCTTATACAATGACGTCCCCAAAGTTCCACCTGTCAGGCCTCTCCTCAGCACACTCCAGTGCCCTCCCTGGATGATCTCATATGTCCCATGTCTTCAACTGCCACCTCTATACTGATGACTCCTAATCTTTGAACTCCAGCGCAATTGCCCATCTAATTACAGTTCCACATGTTCATACATCTTAGATTCCTTTTTCCTTCATCCTGACATTCACTCGCTCATCAAATCCTAATGAATTCTGCTCCCTTATCTCTGGGATCTAGTTCATTCTCTCCATCCCTGCAACCACTCACCGTAGCCTTTTAGTGGATCTTCTTGCCTCCAGGCAGCTTCATACTATTTTCTTAATATAAATCTGATCATTTTGCTTTCCTGATTATAACCATTAAAGGATTCTCTATAGCCATCCAATAAAGCACAGATTCCTGAGCATAAAATAACCTTTTAAAATCTCACCCTGTGGCTATGCTACACTCATACCTTGCCATTCCCTCTCCACTCGCTCCATCAGTTCTAGCCCTACCCAGCTCCTTCCAGTTCTTCCAAAACGTCACATGAGCTCTTGCATGGGCAGTGAGTGAGATGAGAGATGGGAAGCGCTGGCCATGGTGCCTGACACTCCGTAAGTGCTCAGTAAATACAGTTATCACTACTCAGTAAATACGGTTAGTGCACACGTTTCTCCGTGGACCTAAACAACAGGCTACCCCATGTTAGCTGGCACTCTCTCCTAGTACTGGAAAGGCTTCCCTGGCTCCTCCTCGGGGTTCTGGTGCCCCTCCTCTGCTCCCATTGCAGGCTCTCATAGCTCTTACCATATTGTATCAAAACCCTCTATTTACCCGTCAGTCTCCTCTCCTGAACTTTAGAGTCACTAAGGAAAAAGACAATGTCTTAGACATTTTCTTATTCCCAGTACGTAGCACCATTTCTGGCACATGACAGATGCTCCAAAGTGTGCCTGGAGGAAATGAATAAACTTTAAAAGTTGTCACTACTATATTCTACAGCATATCTTCAGTAAATTTCTTCCAATTGCATTTTTTAAAAGTTACCTGTCCTGGGAGCAGTGGTAGGAGATACGGGCTGCTCAGATGGGGTGGGCCCAGAGGGGACAGCGCTAGTGGGCAGTGTTGGGATGCTGTACTCTGTGCTCCTTGGGGTGACTGTGACAGCAGGGCTTTGCTCCACAGGGGCTGGGCTGAATTCCAGGCTGGCTGGAGGATTATGGGAAGGCATGAGAACCTATGAGATCAATTACAAGGATAAATTGTTATTAAAAAAAAATGAAGCACTAAATTAAAAATAGGTTGATCAAACTAAGAGAAATCAATTGACCAGCATTTTAAAAACCAGGTAGTGGGTCTACCACAATTTTAAAATGCTCAATTTTCTTGAACTTTCAGGCATCTGAGTTTGTGAAGTGTGTGCTAATGGATGAAGCTGTTCACCGAACCTGCAATCACTAAGAATAGTACGAAATTCAGAATCACTGCAAACCCGGGCTGCAGAATAGGTGTTCCTAGCATATTATAGTGGAGCCTCTGCAAATGCATAGGATGAACAGGATTTTGTTTTTAGATTTATGGAGTCCTGAAAAATTATTGCCAAGGTGAACTAAAGGCTGAAAGTAGACACTGGTTAAGGTACCTTGGATTAAGGTCATAAAGCCACCAGGAAATGGCTTAGGCGGGGGAAATCCCTAGTCCTGCTCCTCTCTAAAACATTTGCTTTCCCACCACGCTGCTTCTCCAGCTGGAATCACATGCCAATTCTTACTTTCACTATTCAGTGATCTACCCACAACCTCCACCACAGAACTCCTTGCTAAGTTATCAGGGTGCAAGTTTCTCTCCAACACACCCAACCAGAGGAAAATGACTCCTCTACAGAAGGAACGGAACATCAGCGTCCCCATTTCAGCCCTTCAAGTTAAGCTGGGACTAGTCAATAAAAGTCTCAAATGGCCATTGTTTCTATTTTCTCCACACTTACTAACTTTGTTGTTTTTTTGTTGTTTTCTTTTTTTGTCGTCTGGCCAGTATGGGGATCCAAACCCTTGACCTTGGTGTTACAACACCATGCTCTAACCAATTGAGCTAACCAGCCAGCCCTACTCTTACTTACATTGAAACAACTTATTTTAGGTGAATCTGTCTAGTCTTGTCCACTTAAATACACAGCTGCAAAAAATGTCCTTTATCCTCTACAAGTTTGATCTGATCTGTTTTTCATAGACATCCTATTCAATAGCACTATTTTCTATGATGCTGCTATGAACATTTATGTACAAGTCTTTGTATGGACATATGTTGTCATTTTTCTTAAGTACCTAGAAGTGGAATTGATGGGTCATAGGGTAACTCTATGTTTAACATTTTAAGGAATTGCCAGACCATTTTCCAAAGGAGCAGAACCATTTACATTACTATCAAGCAGTGTATGAGCATTCCAGTTTCTCTACATGCCCACTAACACTTAGTAACCACTTTTTTGTTTGTTTTGTTTTTTATAATTCTAGTCATCCTAGTAGCTGTGAACTGGTATCTCACTGTGGTTCTGATTTGCATTTTCTTAAAGATTAATGGTATTCATGTACATCTTTATATCATAAGCATCTTTTATGTGCTTATTAGCCATTTTTCTATCATATTTGGAGAGATGTCTATTTAGATTCTTTGCCCATTTTTTTAAATTGGGTTATTTGGTTGGGCTAGCCAGTTAGCCCAGTTGGTTAAAGCGTGGTACTGATAACACCAAGGTCCAGGGTTCAATCCCAGTTCTAGCCAGCTACCCCAAAATAAATAAATAAATAAATAAATAAACTGGGTTATTTGTCTTCTTATTAGTTGTAAGAGTTATTTATATATTCTGTATACAATATTTATGATATATGATTTACAAATATTTTATCCCATTCTATGGGTTGTCTTCACTTTCTTGATGTCACCTGAAACACAAAAGTTTTTAATTTTGATGAAGTCAAATTTATCATATTTTTCTTTTATTGCGATGCTTTTGATGTCTTATCTAAGAAATCAATGACTAACCCAAGCTCACAAAGATTTTCTGGTGTGTTTCCTTATAAGTGTTTTACAGTTTTAATTCTTTCATTTAGATTTTTGGTCCTTTTTGAGTTAAATGTTTTAATAAGGTATAAGGTAGAAACCTAAATTCATTCTTTTGTATGTGAATATCCAGTTATTCTAGTACCATTTGTTGAAAAGACTATTCTTTACCCAATGAATTGTTTAGGCACATTTATCAAATGCAATTGTACTATTTTAAGCACTTTTTTGGTGAGAAAAGAGACCTGAGTTTGATATTTCTTAATATGCTATGTATCTAATGTTTATAAACATTNCGATGCTTTTGATGTCTTATCTAAGAAATCAATGACTAACCCAAGCTCACAAAGATTTTCTGGTGTGTTTCCTTATAAGTGTTTTACAGTTTTAATTCTTTCATTTAGATTTTTGGTCCTTTTTGAGTTAAATGTTTTAATAAGGTATAAGGTAGAAACCTAAATTCATTCTTTTGTATGTGAATATCCAGTTATTCTAGTACCATTTGTTGAAAAGACTATTCTTTACCCAATGAATTGTTTAGGCACATTTATCAAATGCAATTGTACTATTTTAAGCACTTTTTTGGTGAGAAAAGAGACCTGAGTTTGATATTTCTTAATATGCTATGTATCTAATGTTTATAAACATTTATTCAAGGATTTTTTTTAAAAGTTAGTGTGATAGTAGGGTAAAATTTGTATTTCAGTGTAAAATAACACATTGTCTACAGGATACCCTTCTAGGTTATCTGATTCTAGTCTTTCTAGTATTTGAGCTATTTTGCAACTTTGTAAGTTGTAGGGAATTGATAAAAATGCAAAATAATTTTTATCTACAGACATGTAGATTTTGCCCTGTCTTGCAGAGGTTTGATTGAACTCCCTCCTCTTCTCCCTGGAAAGCCAATTTTACCTCCATTCACACATTCATTTCAATATTCTTGATCATTGAAATATACCTGTTCTTCAGATTCTCTTGTGAAACCATAATGATTAATGAGTAGAATAAAATCTCTAACATATGTTCATTTTATATTTGTATAATTCATAATTTTACCTTCTTTGATAATTATCTTTTAACATAACCAGCCTCAAAAGACTCAGCCAAAAGATTTTTAATAGAGCTTGATTTGAGATAATTTCATCCACAGAAGCTAGAAAGTAAGTGACTTAGCAACACAAAAGAGGGTAAATTATGTTAATATTTACTGATATGAGCAAAGAACACAGTTAATTAATTCACATTATTTTTAATTGAAAGTTTTAAAATTTTAATCCAATTACAAGTACAGAAAAATATAGAAACTTTGTGGGGTTTTTTTTTTTTTGGCAGCTGGCCAGTAAGGGGATCTGAACCCTTGACCTTGGTGTTACAATGCTGTGCTCTAACCAACTGAAGAAACTGTGAACTACACAAAAATATAAGAAAGCAGAAATGAACTGTCTGATATTCTTAAAAATTAAAAATGACTTCTAGGCTGGCTGGCTCATTTGGTTACAGCAAAGTGCTATAACACTAAGGTCAAGGGTTTGGATCCCCAAACCGGCCAGCTGCCAAAAAAATAAAAAGACTTCTAGTTACTTTTTTTAGCAATTTTTTAAGGTTGAGATTACAATGTACAGTCAATTAAATACAATGTTCTTTACTTCTTCTAATCTAAGTACTGAAATCTTAAATACTATTTTCCTTTAAAAAATTTTTTTAAAATTTTCCTTTGAAAATTCTTAAAGGACTCCCATGTCCTTTTGTCTCTTCATTTCCAACTGTATTCAGCTTCCTCTGATCAACACACTCACTACATTCTCATCTAGTCCCAGCCATTTCCCAAACGAGTAGCCTCCGAGCTCTCCAGTTATCCTCTCCTCACAACACGGTTCTCAACCTCTGTCTTCCTGACCTTCTGCCCTTAACACTTGGACTTTTTCCCTGCTTTTGGTATCTTTACTCCCCCGATGATTCCCATTCTTTTTTCATCTGGGTTTTTCATGCAAAGCTCTGTAAATCTTACGTTCCCTACTTAGAACATCTCTCCTATCCAACTGATGCGTCATGGCACTGGTGAATTTCTAGCAATCTAAGCACCTGTTGAGTTTCGAAGAAACCTACTGTGGTAGATGTTCAAACCCTCTGGGTATATGTGCTGTGTATATTTGCTGTCCCCTGGGACTTCTATAAAATCCTCGTTCACCTTAAATACTGGTAGAGGCATCTCTAGGGAGACATTTGAATCTTCATTAGTTGGCTGACTTGAGAAGGAAGAACTATTTGTTCTTTTTAACAGCCTAGTCATGAAAGAACAGCAGAGGAACAGGATATTTTGTTCACCTTAAATACTGGTAGAGGCATCTCTAGGGAGACATTTGAATCTTCATTAGTTGGCTGACTTGAGAAGGCAGAACTATTTGTTCTTTTTAACAGCCTAGTCATGAAAGAACAGCAGAGGAACAGGATATTTTGTGTCCTGGGAGGCTCTGAGAGACAGTCATCTTTCTTGCCACCATTTGAGACAGGTGCCCTTAAGGGGAACCTACTTATGTTCATCCAGCCTGAATGAGTGCCTGGCTACTTAGACTCAGCCCCTCCCACCCCAGCACATCCTCAGCACACCCACCTCTTTCCCAGAGCTGTTGCTGGATTGTTCCTGGGGCTGCAAAGCCTCTTCTTTTTCCAATACCTCTTGTGAAGATGGAGTAGTTGCCAAGGGAAGCAACAAACTTCTCTCTGGGGCAGGGGTCCAAGCCGACTCATTCACTGCGTGGAGCTCTGGGTCCTGCTGCTTCTCTGCTGATGCTGTAGCGCTGTTTCCAGCAGAGGAGTTGAAGCCTCCCTCGCTGCCAGGAAGCAGGCCCCAATCGGTGTACTCGGCACTCCCTCTAGGCTCCTGCTTACTGATGGGCTGGAAGAGGTCCTGCTCCAGCTCCCTGTAGTCATCTGAGTACTCAGACATCTCCTCTAGGCCCTGATCTTTGCCTAGAAAGGGGAAGTCCTTTCTGATATCCTCAGGTGAGTCCCCCCAGGCTCCCGAAGGGGAACCCCTATTCAATATCATCTCCCCATAGTCCAGCAACTGGGCAGACCTCTGGACAGGCCTGAGCACAAAGGTGAGATAAGACCTGATGGGGCCCATCTTCTTGGGCTCACAGTTCTCTTTGTGTGGGCAGCTCACCAGGTAGCAGCGGCCCTCAAACCACCAGGCCAGGTCACAGCTGTACAGGTCACAGCAAGCAGCCGTGCAGTCCACCACAGGGAAGGTTTGAGGCACCCGCATGATTCTGGTGGTTTTCAAGTTAGGTAAAATGACTGCATTGGAATACGTCCTCCCTTCACTGCACTGCTTACAGGCACAACCTGCAAACAAGGCACTCTCTAATGAGGAAAAAAGGCATGTCACAGGGCAGCAACTCTAGCCTAAGACCAGAAAATGCGAGCCTCACCAATCCTTGGCCAGTCTGGCAAGTAAATAAACAATCAGCACTTCCTACAGAAAAACCATTATATTATCTTGCAGTCCATCCATCAAGCCACCCAACCTTATATTTATCTTCCTATCATCCTAAACTCTTATCCATCCTCCACTCACCCATCCATCCATCTATCCTTTTCTTCTGTCTTTCTACCCTCCTATCCCTCTATTCTTCCACCCACTCACCCGCTCATCCATCCATAGCTTCTTCCACCTTCCACACGCTCTTCGATCCATCCTTTCTCTCCATGTAGTTTCACTCCACGTGATTAACAGAAACATTCTTCTCCATGTTTGTATTATTTTACATTATTTTAAATATTTTGTTCCTCACATAATATTCAGTTACACAGGTTTACTTTACAAAGTAGCATCACGTCTTTTTTACTGTTGTTTAATTTTTTTTTTAATCTCACGGGCTATTCTGATAATAGATCAATTGACAGGAAAATATCAAAGGAGAGAAAAACTTGTCCTCAGTACATATCCAGAACCAACTAGTTTTAATAAGATTCTGAATAACGAGCCATAAATGTTAACAGCCAGTCACTATAGCAGGTATGAGAGTGATGCTATGCAAAGTGTGGGCCGCTGTGCTGCAGGCCTGTGTACTTGGCTCCCATTCACAACCAAATAACAGAAATGGAGGCTTTTACAAACTTCTGTGGTGATTTGTCATTACCTGAAATCAAAGTACAAAATCACTTTTCTTGCATTCCTGTTTGGTTTTTGGCATTTTACATAAGAACCAGTCTATAACGGATTGGACATAAAAACAAACTGGTTCTTTGCCACATACACTTTGAGAATTACTGTGTTAAAGTTCTGCTGCAGGGGGCCGGCCCGGTGGCGCACTGGATAGTGCGCTGCTTGGGAAGCGCGGCGGCGCTCCCGTCTGAGGGTGCGGATCCCACATACAGACCGGTTCCCGCTCACTGGCTGAGCGAGGCGCGGGAGCAACACCGAGGTTTGCAATCCCGTTGCCGGTCCCCGGTCCGGTACGGGGGCAACACTGAGGGTTGCAATCCGTTGCCGGACACGGAAAAAAGACAAAAGACAAAAAAAAAAAAAAAAAAAAAGTTCTGCTGCAGGACTCAGAATGGCAAGAGGTTTCTTTCCTAGTGATGGCTCGTCACTGAGAGTTCTTTTAATAATTGTTATTTTTCTCATAAAAGGTACTCTCAGAAATTTGTTTTAACTGGAAATAAGTAAACATGGCTATGTGCAGTATAGGAACCATGTTTATATTTACCTGTATACACTGTCATTGTTACAGAAAATTTTTTTAAATAACTCAATGCCAAACATTGACTCTAGAGGGAAGACTAGTTACTTCAGTTTAATAGGAATTAGATATAATAAACATGCATCTTTCCCAGTGAATAAGCTTGCAAAAAACTACCTTAACTAAACTGGAATGGCATTTTCTCAAATGCAAATCTATTTTGTTAAATCACCAGAATAGTTTTATCCTTTTACTTTCTAGACAAAAGCTTAATATCAACTATGAAAAAAATAACAATATACTCCAGCTGAACATAACAAAACAGCATCTCTTATCAAGGTCAAGAGATTAAGAAGGGTATAGAAGAGAGAAAGAACTAATCTCCAGCTCCTAACTCTATTCTCAAAAATATTGTGTTTATTTTTAAAGATACCACTACACCTCTGAGAGACCTTAAAATGAAGACCCAATGGGCCGGCCCATGGCTCACTCGGGAGAGTGCGGTGCTGATAACACCAAGGCCCCGGGTTCGGATCCCATATAGGGATGGCCGGTTCGCTCACTGGCTGAGCGTGGTGCTGACAACACCAAGTTCAGGGTTGAGATCCCCTTACCGGTCATCTTTTAAAAAAAAAATGAAGACCCAAGTTAGAGTTTTTTTTCCAAACCCAAATGCCACGATATGCTTTAGTTCCCTTGAGAAACTGCTATGTCTTCTCCTTTTGGACAATGTGATTCAGGGAAACATCATGTTTCATTTCTGCCCTTGGCCACCAGAAAGCTCAAGAGCCAACTTTTAAAACTATGCCACAGCAACCACTCTACAGGGAAAAGGCTGTGATCATGGCACAAGCAAATTGCTTCAAGGGGGTAAGAAGACCTTTCCATGGCAGAAGGCTTCAACTCAAAGCTTACAAGCAGTTTTCAGTGTGGCTGGAGGTGGAGACCTGGTACACCTCTGGGGCAATCATACCTTTGCTCTGCAAAAAGAAATGCCTCAATAGGGGCTGTCTAAATAGACATACCTCAACCGGAGATCTTAATGTTAAATAAAGAAGTTTGAGAAGATGGAGCCCCCAACAACTAAGTCATTCTTCCTCTGGGCCAAGTTGCCATAATTACTTCAGAATTGATTAGACACAGTGAGAAAGCTCTTGAAGCACTACCAGACTCCTGGAGACCAGAGAGCCTGTCACCCCTGTTTGTATGTTCTACAAATCCTAGCCCAGTCCGTGAACGTAGTAGGCACTTGACGATTGTCAACAAGTCAGTAAAATCATGGGTTAGCATTTAACAAAGGTAAAGAAGATAGAGAAGGAAGACAAACAAATTGCAAATAACATGATTGGGACACAATAACTCAGGAATTGAAATTTCGAATTAACGGAGAACAACTCATAAGAAAAGGGCAAAAAGGAATGAAAAGGTGGAGATTTGAAGGGGGAAAAAAAGAATGTCTAAACATTAATGACATTATCTAAAACATTAATGACAGTGTTTTCCAGAGCACAGAGTTCATTAATTATGAAATAAAGGATTATTTTGTCTTGCACACTAAGCAGGGATGAATTTAATAAGATGGACAGATGGGGTGGGGTGAGTAATCTACTGGGCATGACAAGGCTTTTCCAATGGTAGAACTTTCTGAAGTGGCCCTCACATCATGTAAAACAGTGCTTCCCAAAATTTAGGTGCTCCTTACTCATCTCCAGGTGCTTGCTGAAAACCCAGATTCCTGAGCCACACTCCAAAGGTTTCTGATTCAGTAGGTCTGGAGCGGGGGCATGAGAAATTGCATTTTAACAAGAGGCTCTCTCAGGTTATCCTCATTATGGCTTTAATATGCTTTGACAAACTGCACAGAAAAAGTTTCTCCAGCTATATCTTCACCCTCAGTCCCTTGTACACGCAAATAAATGGACACAGCTGGCCCAGCCTTATCACAGATTACCAGAATTGATGCTCAACAGTGATTTTATGCCATGGGGGTGTCCATTATTAGCAAACTAAGTATAATGCAAATAAAGATTTATGATAAGGGCCAGCCCGGTGGCGCACTGCTACAGTGCGCCGGTTGGGAGCGCGGTGGCACTCCCGCCGAGGGTTTGGATCCCACATACAGACCGGTTTCCGCTCACTGGCTGAGCGAGGTGTGGGCGCAACACCGAGGGTTGCGGTCCCGGTCAGGTACGGGCGCGACACTGAGGGTTGCAATCCATTGCCAGATACGAAAAAAGGAAAAAAAAAAAGATTTATGATAAAAGGGAGTCTGATCTTTCCGGAAAGATCTACTATGCAATTCTTTTAAATATACAAATGTAAATTTTTCTTACTATATATGAAATATGATTTTATTTTCCCATGAAATAGTCATGGTAATAAAAAATTTAAATTCCTATTTCCACAAAACCACTCATGCATAAGATCTACCTTTCATGCCTTTTATGTGAAAAACAATTCTATTAGAAAGCAAATGGCACTTTCATCTCAGATTGATCTGAGTTGCTTAAGCCAGTTAGGAAGCTCAAGTCTGACACCAGTGTCCCGAGGGCAATGGTTTCCTACCTGCAATGGTTACCAGCAGCAGCAATGATGAAAGCACACCTGTTGGGGGCACCATTCTGCACCACACAGTGGGTGATGACAGGCTTCTGAGGTAGCCCTGAAAGGCTCTTGGTGCAGGCTTCTTTGATGTTTTTAGGAGCCAGATTTGGCCTCAAGAACTTCAAAGGAGAAACAGAAAAGAGACAGGAAGGAAGAAAAGGTAAATATGGAAACATACAAAATTATTTCTGTCATTGGCCTCAAGAACTTCAAAGGAGAAACAGAAAAGAGACAAGAAGGAAGAAAAGGTAAATATGGAAACATACAAAATTATTTCTATCATTTATTCATGTCAGTGGGGAAGCCTGTCCTGTTCACATCACAGGGCATATCTCAGGCAACCATCCACCCACAGAAGTTTGCTCAAATAGCAGGCACAGCTCCTAAGAAGAGGCAAAGAGTAAACAAAGACCAACCAAATGAGAAAAGCAAAGGCTATTTATTGAGTTTGTTACAGCAAGGGAATCAGCCAACATCACTTGCATTTCAGCAGAGACTCTAAAGCAAGCAGAAGAGTGGAAAAGCTTCATAGTGGAAAAAAGAGAAGGCTTCACGTGTGCCCTGACTGGAGGCTGTTGGCATGGGGAAGCTATATGTGGCTATCTGGAAGCAGTACATCCTATGTGATTGGCTAGGAGTGCATTTTTGGTTTTCACTGGTTGGTCGTAAGTTGGAAGAGGGGACAAAAAATTACGGAAATTGTCAGTTACTAATCAAATACTGGTCATTGGGGCCTACTGTTACAGAAGTTATTGTTTAGCTTTCTGGATTGTTATTAGAGATAGCAACCTGGCTTTCTGCAAGTAGGACACAGCAGCCTGGCTTCCTGGGTTGCTTATTGTAGATAAGAGGTTGATATCTTGGGCAGATTGCTGCAGTTTGTAGGTCAGAGTTCTATTTTTATATAAGGTCTGGCTATTGTTTGTATATTCAGTCTCTCAAAGCCCAACCCTATGAAATAATGATGAAATAAATCATACTACTATATTTCAACAATTCTAAGATGTAAATATTTTCACATTTTACCACCTCTGATAACAGTATGTCTTAAAATTGCAGTTGGCCAAGTGCCAGTCAGGTGATAGATGCCACAGCTTGTGCATGAACATCAGTCATTTAGAACCAGTACCAGAGGCTTGGAAAAACGTCCCAAAGACAACACGCAGCACTCTCTTAAGAGATGTTGCTTCCCTAGTGCTCATAATAGCACACAGGCAACACCATGTGGATATGCGTTGACAAGTTATTTGGCAGAAATGATCTAAAAAGGTAAGGAAATTTAGCAATACACTAATTTATTTCATTTATATCTTCTTTTTTACATATGCACAAGAATGATTTATGGTAAAAATCTGTTTAAATGCCTCCCAAAATCTCTTTTAATACATATAAATATTCTAAATGGTAAGAAAGCAATGTGTTTTGGTTTAATTGGCAACATTTTTTTTTCTTTGTGGTATTTAAAATAATGGTGCATTTCAGGGCTGGCTGGTTAGCTCAGTTGGTTAGAGGGTGGTGCTGATGACACCACAGCCCAGAGTTCAATCCCTATACCAGCCAGCCACCAAAAGAAACAAAAAAGTGTAAAATAATGGTGCATCTTAACAATCATTAGCATCTTAGACTCAATGAAATATAGTAATATTAGCACTTTATTTTTGCCTGACATTTTTTTCAGTGTGAAATGCACAACAATCCAAATAATATTACTATCTCCATCTTAAAGATGATGAAATTGAGGCTCAAAAAAGTTAACTGATTAGCCCAACGCTGAAGAATCAGTACGAGGAGGTCTGCACTTGGAGTCTTGTCTCTGGACACCTCTGGATTCTCAAACAATATTACTATCTCCATCTTAAAGATAATGAAATTGAGGCTCAAAAAAGTTAACTGATTAGCCCAAGGCTGAAGAATCAGTACGAGGAGGTCTGCACTTGGAGTCTTGTCTCTGGACACCTCTGGATTCTAAGTCCTTGTTATTTTAAATACATAACAAAGGCTCCCAAGAGGAAACATACAAGCTCATGTTCTAAAACCTAGATAAGGGTTTCCTAATGAGTGTGTCAGAATCCTGCTGTGAGTTTCAAGTTGGTATGCCATGGTAAACTAGAGTGAAGTTCATACCAGTCTCTCCCCATCCACCTCTTCATTCCTTCTCCATCCATACACGCACAGCCTTGTAATAGAGAACAAGACTCCTTCTCACCCCATCTCCAGAAATAATGCAGTGCAGTTAAAAATTGGTAAGTGTACTAGGGATGACAGAGTGGAAAACACCCCACCAGAGGTCTCCTAGTTAGTCAGTCATTCAAAAATGAATGTGGTGATGTAGGGAAAGTGCGAGGCAACTGGGAAGAACAAGGAGCCTACAAGCAAAAGCAAACACATAGCAGCATTCTCTGGAAAGAGGGTGTTTGGAACCACTAGATCTTGCTTTTGAGTTTTCATCAAGAAACCACTCAAATCACAAGAATACTTCTGTTGAACTGCACTGAGAGTTCTGTCACTGATGACATGGAGCAAGGATGCTGCCCAACCAACAGCCATCACTGGCCAATGCCTGGGAAGGGAAAGGGGCCTGCAAGGGGCCTGAGTTATTGAGCTGAGCTAAACCAAGATACCAGGAAGGAACCAGAGCAAAGGTGATCTAAGGCAAAGTCAAGAGGTGGCTTTTACAGGTCTTTGTGTCAGGACAACAAAGGCCATCAGAAAGCTTCGATAAGGTAAAGTGGAGAATGGAAAGAGTAAGATTCATGCCTAAAACCCCAGAGGAAGAACACCTTGTGGTGTAAACAGTTTGCCACCAATAACTTCCTTTCCCTCCAACAAGAAAGTGTGGCTTAAGACAGAATGTGGACAGAAGGGGAAACTGACCATCTCCCATCTGCAGCCATTGACCACTCCCTAACCAAAAGGCTGGAGAAGAGCAACTGGCCCTCCAGAAATGGCATTCATCCAGCTGCCCAACGTGCTGGGGCCCAGAATAGCAACACTGCTATGAGCCAGGGATAGTTAATGAAGAATCCCATGGATGAAGACTGGGCCTCTACTGTACCATATGGGACTTTTGGGCACATTAAGAAAAAGCACCTCTTGGGATAAAGCTCCTAAGGCACACAGCTCGGCAAATGGACAGTGGGCCAAATTCCCAAATCCCACGCCCGTTTGGTGGAAGCCTTTGTGCAATGTACAACCTTCACAACCATACTGTACCTGGAAAGCAATCCATCACTGTTATCCCAGGGCAAACTCACAGTGCTCAGCAACAAAAGCACTTCCTATTCTCAATACCATATTTAAGGTTCTTTTATTCAGTACATCAATATAAGCAAACAATGGATCTCCATTTCCTCAACATTAAAAGGCATATGGCCTAGATGTTATCAAAGTCCCTTCAGCTGTCATAGTTTATAGGTTTTGCTTTTTAAATACATACTTAGTACCTTATGGGTTAAATTATGCTTCGACATATATTATCTTGTTTGATCTACTTATAACAACTCTCTCTGAGGTAGGAATTCTTATAATGCCCATTTTACAGGAAAGGACACTGTGTCTTACAGTCAGTCTTTAGACTCTAGATCCCGGCGTTCCCTGCAGCACCCATAGCCCTCCCTGTGGTTCTGTGAAGTGAGCACAGTCCACTCTGGGTCACTGAGGAAGATCTTTCTTGCTTATTATTCAGTCTCTGCATTGCTTGACTGACTCATGCTCTCTCCTGCTGCTTGCCCTTTGCCCACTCGCTGTTGTTTTCTGTCTTCATGAAAGGGAAAGAAAATTTTTTAAGTATGCTTCTTAACAATTTTGACCAAAGGTAAAATTGAACCTGAGTGGTAAAGTAGGACTTTTAAAATAAGGCTTAAGAAGTTCAAAATGTTATAAAAAGTACAAATCCATATATCCTTACATAAACTCTGCATGGATCAACTTTATACATGTAAAGTTCTGAAAGGACATGCCCCCCACCCCAGGTGAAAACTGGTGAAAATATGAATGCTTTTTATCTTTTCCTTTTTTTCTCTCTCTTATCTGTATTTTCTTTTCTTTCCTTTCTTTTTTTTTTGGGGGGGGGGAGGTGGTGTGGGCACACACAGCTGGCCAGTACAGGAACTGAACCCTGGACCCGGACCTTGGTGTTATCAACACCACGCTCTAACCAACTGGGCTAACCAGCCAGCCCCCCGTTTTCTTTTGCTGGCCAGTGCAGGGATAATATTTTCTTCTAAACTGAACACATCTTACCTTTGTATTATTAAAATACAATTGTTATTTTCATTTTTAAAGAGGGCTTAGATAATTTGAACTGGTTATTCTGACATAGCTGCAAGAGAGATGTAGGAAATATATTGCTGGCATAATCCTGCTCCTAAACCTCGCCCCTCTGTGCTTCCTGCATGCATTGCCCCTAGACCATCTGAAAACCCCAACTGCATTCTTTCTCTTCCTTTAGGCAATCATGATGACATTACTGATTCAGAGATGGAGGAAGGCTTGGGGATGGGGTCAGAGAATGAATGAGATGTAAGAATGGGGTTTAATGGTAAAACACAATACAAACTATTTTTTCTATAGTCTCTTACTCAGCAACAATCATCAACACAGAAGACCGATTTCTATGCCAAATGTGTGGGGATTTCTCGCCACCAATAAGCAAGGGGGCAATTCTCCCTCCAGCAGACACCAGCTGGGTGTCCTCTAATTCAATTCCGACACTATCTACCTGAAGATAGCATCAGATCCCACAGGTTGAGGGCTCAGTCCGCAAGACTGTCCCCTACTTCAGATGCGTGTTGCAAGTCCAGACCTCTGAAACTTCTGACCAACCGGCTATAAATCAGGTTTCCCACAGCCCCCCTCCTTGGGTTCAATTAGTTTGGTTGAGCAGCTCACGTGTTGAGGGGAACACGTATTTACTTTTACTAGTTTATTATAAAGAATATTACAAAGGATACAGAGAAAGAGATGCATAGGGTGAGGGATGGAGAAAGGGACACAGAGCTTCCATACCCTCCCCAGGCACCACCCTCCAGGAACCTCTATATGTTCACCTATCTGAAAGCTCTGCAAACCCAGGCCTCTTGGGTTTTTATGAAAGCTTCATTATACAGACATGATT